ATATATATATATATATTTTTTCAATAGGGAGTGTTAATCCATAAGAGAAGCTCTGCCACTGCTTAAATACCTCACAGTGAAATTTGAGAAATTTATTGGGGGCGAAATCCCCATTTACAGGAAATATATAATATACGCCCAAGTTCTAGAAGTTGCCGAATTGAAGAAGTCAATATTATCACCAAGAATAATAATAATCCTAATTAAGTCTAAATCCCAAAGAAATTGGGATTGACTATATAAATTTTCATTTTTTTTCTTTAAGCTCAATTATATGATTATCATACAAAATAAAATAGAAGTGCATCCATCGTTCCAATTATTCAGCTATTGAAAATATCTAACGGGGAAAAAGACGAAAAGCAATTCTTTCCCAACTCTGATCCTAATTTTAAGCAATAAGTAGCATCTTTTGATGTTAATTTAAAGAAAAAGATGTAAAAGTCTAACATGCAGACCAAATTAACATGTTTGTGTAAACAGTAGACGAGATTTGAGTATTTTCTAGATTGCGTCTCGTCTCTAATCATATTAGGTAGAAACATAATTTACAGAAAATTAAAGCATAAATTTCGTTCATCATTTTAGATGTTGGATACAGGGGTAGCACTAAGCCATAGGTACTGAGAAATTGCTTGCAATGCTGCAACCCGATGATTATTTGCCATGCCGCATTTGGCGCAACTTGCAGTAAGATTAACAACATTTACACTGCTAAAATCAAATAGTAAAACTTTGCGTATATTGTATTCGAAGGTTCTTTTTTTACAACTATTTCTAAATATCGAAATATATTTATTTTTATTTTGGAATAGACTGAAAAACAAAAGTGTATCTTAAAATAGGATACGGAAAAGGATCATATATGCCAGTGAACTATGCGAATTAGGACAGATATACCCGTTGTTAATAATTTGGCACAGATATACCCAATCCGTCCAATACTTGCTCATTCATGCCCTTAATTTAACGGAACCACTATTTTATCTTTCTTAAATAATGAATAACCGGACCCAACCAAAATCTGTTGACCCGATCCGTTAGGATCCGACCCACCCTAATTTCAAAGATATTTTTTTGATATATTATTTTTGTTTGATTGAGAAATTGTGTGATAATCATATTTGTTTATTTGAGTAATTTGATAATCGATTTTTTTTTTATACATCATTTCGAGAAGTAATCCTACTAAAAGTAGTAATTGATATTTATTTATTATTTTAATAATATAATATTCGAATTAGTTTGTGCTTTCTTTTATCATTTTACTATCTATTTTTTTTCTCAGTGGTGCTTGTTATAAAATAATATTTGTTATAAAATAATTAATTAATAAAAATAGAAAAGAAGTAGCACTGTTTTAACAGTGGTGCTTGTTATGAATTAATATTTGTTATGAAATAATTAATTAATTAATAGAAATGGAAAAGAAGCACCACTGTTTTAACAATTTATTACTTAGTTCATAACAAATTTGTAATGCAGAAAATGATCCAATAAACTAATAATCAATCATATAATGATCACTTATCTAAACAAAAAAAAATGGATCCACCAGGTTAAGTTATAGTGAAAATGGAGTTTTTTGTATTTGTATTGGTGAAAAATACAAATAGATTGTGAGAAAAATAAAATTAGATGGTAAAATGATTGAAGAAAGCACAAACTAGTTCGAATATTATATTATTAAAATAATAAATAAATACCAATTACTACTTTTAGTAGGATTATTTTCCGAAATGATGTATAACAAAAGAAAAATCGATTATCAAATTACTCAAATAAATAAATATGATTATCACACAATTATTCAATGAAACAAAAAAAATATATCAAAAAATAACTTTGAAATAAGGGTGGGTCGGATCCTAACGGCGGGTCAGTAGATTTTGGTTGGGTCCGGTTATTCATTATTTAAGAAAGACAAAATAGTGATTCCGTTAAACTAAGGGCATGAATGAGCAAGTATTGGACGGATTGGGCATATCTGTGCCAAACTATTAACGACGGGCATATATATATATATATATATATATATATATATATATATATATATATTTATATATATATAGACCCTACGCCCTTTTTGGTACCCCTTTTTACTACGTGGTGTTGTAAGGGATGTCATTTCAATGCCATTTTGAGTTAGCTTAAACTACCAACATATTATACTCTCTTTGATTTTCATCTCCTGTCTATCTTTTAAACGATTGTGTTTTAATTACGACTAACTTGGATGAGTGATGGGACTCTTCTTCAACTATCCACAAACTTTAGTTTATTTTATGGCGAAGGATATGATTAATTCACGAAAAATGACATTCTATAGTCACTGTAAAAATAATACTCGAAAAAATATATAAAATTTATATTTTTTTTGTATATATATACATTCTGTATGTTATATACAAATTTTATACACTTTTTCGACTACCAGATGTAAATAATTTCTGGCGCGGGATAAAAGTGATAATACCCCAACTGATAAATAGACCTCAGCCCAACTCAACCCTAAATAGGAGTAAATGAAATCAATATTTACACGGCAGAATAGCCTGACAGACACCTTTACTTATTCGGCTTTGACATCCCGGTCCCCTTACTCCACATAGTTTCAATCAGGCACTTGCACTTGTTTAAAACATTAATTTTAAACACCTCGGATACGTGTGTTGTTCACTCGCGCTGATATAAATGACACATCATATCCACCTCAGATAAATTTATGCCATGTCATTATTTGTTTTTACAAAAACTACTTTTTAATAAAAATATCAAATCCATCCTTTTCTTCTCAAAAAAACCCAAACCTTCCTGCTCTCTCTCCACCATTTTATCTCTGCCTCTTTCACCTGCCACCGCCACTACAACTCACCGCCACCCTTCCTTTTCCATCTGAAAACACAATTAAACCCATTTCATTCTTTTTTCCTAATTTTTCTCCATTACTACGATCCATTCAACCAGCCATGGTGTTCTTGCCGCCACCATCGCCGGCAACCAGTCCAAAACCACCATTACTCTCCTCTTCTCTTCAAATTTATGTCATCCTTTCAAAACCCAAACAACAAATGAATTTAAAAAAAAAATCTATGCTCAAATTTTCTTTCAAGCCAAACACCCAAGAAGCAGCACCCAAAAATTGAAAAAGAAAGAGAAGAATGTTTCACTCAGTATTTCCTATCTCAAATTTCTTATTGGCCCCTTCAGCTATAGCCATTTTTTTTTTATAAAACTAACAAAATCCAGGTTCGCCATTGTCTTCAGCAGTCGATGACGACCCAATTTTGGCCTGGAGCGCTATTTTCAAGCTTCACCGTCTCATAATTCTCTGGCGTCTTCATCGGCTTCTTCCGTTATTTTGAGAAAAATAAAATTAAACAACTTTGTTCCTTGACTAGCTGCTATTTTAAGCTCTATCAATTCGGTCTTGTCATGTGTTATGCTACTAAATTTTTGTCATAGCTCCAGTTGATTGCTAAAATTGGAGGAGAAATAATGTAATGGCGTTTGGAAAGCTCTGGTTGAGAAACAAAATTTAATCTTAGAGGCTGTGGAGCCGTGCCAATTTCAATGGCGGTCTTTAGGGATTTGGGGGTAAGAAGCGGATGGGATAGAGAGCGGCGAGATAATGGCTAGCGTTGTTTTTCTTTTTTTCAGTTTTCTCTTTTATTATTTTCTAATCAAAATTTGTACAGTTACTCGCTTTTAGGAGCGTGCAATCACTTATTTTGTTTGACTCAGCAAAACAAAGGCCACGTAAGCTTGGTCAATGGTCAGAGGAATTTAAAATTAATGTTTTATACAAGTGCAAGTGCCTGATTGAAACTATGCGGAGTAGCGGGACCGGGATGTCAAACCCGAATAAGTAAAAGTATCTGCCAGGCTATTCTGCCGTATTTACACTCTACCAAAAAATAAATGACGTGAAACTTAGAACAAGAAACTTCTCATGAATTCAAATTCCTTAAATTACTTGAATTTTAATCTATAATGCACATTTTTAAACTACCAAACTAACTTTCTAACCATTATTTTCAATATTGTAAAGCATATAGAATATAGAAAAGCAACGGGGCGTTACAAAATCAAAACATAGAAACCAATTAAGAATAAGATAATGGCGTGCAAAGTGCAATACTATGCACTTTTTGAGGAACACGGCATAAAATTGATACTCAATCCAACTGCCCTGTTTTGAGGAAAAGATAATATAACAACATACACAGTAATATCCCACATCGTGGGGTAGTGTGTACGCAAACCTTACCCCTACCTTGTGAGGATAGAGATGCTGTTTCCAATAGACCATCAACTCAGAAAAGTATAAGCACCACATTAATGGAAATATAGACAAGAAGGGACGAGGAAAATAAAAATAATAATACAAAAGAAACATGTGTTAAAATTAGCTTTTAACCAGCAAATTATTCTTAAATCTAATTTGATGTATTAACTTCACGTATACGCATGCCTCAAACAACAGCATACATTTCCAACACACTACTTTTCTTCCGGACAGATAACTGACAAAGCCATAATAATTACAATGCTAAAGGGAACACTGTAAAAAACTAGTGTTACGACCCTCATATTTACAACGTTAACACTATAAATGGAGTTCTACTGCATGGCTTTTCTTCCCGCTGCAAGTACGCGATACCATCGAACAGCAATGTCTTCGGTAACCTTCATTCTAACGTAAAGCTTTAGATAGTTTGGAAGAATTCAAGCATAGAAGTCAGCCATGCCACTTTGGTACTAAGTAGTGAAAGCATGCTTGAACCTGAGAAGTAGCAATATTATGCTTGAGCAATGCCCTTTTTAACAAGCATCTCATACACTTTGTCCAACTTATTCGGATCAACATTGAACAGACCATGAGCATCAGATTTCTTGGTGATGTTGCCATTCAAGATCCCCATAGACATGGTCTGCAACATGTTTAGATAATGAGCCGGCAGGATTCTGATCTCATCACAAAGCTGTTTTTCCTGCATTTGCAATTGCCACAAATGCAGGTTAAGATTAAAAGGATGCAGCCATACACTAATAACAAAAAGTTTCGAAAATTATCGTCTTTCTGGGAGCACTAAAACTGTCAGAATAGCCACATCAATCCCCATTCTGGTATATATAGTAAGTCATATGAAATCGATTGCATGGTTAATGATCTGGCAGCAGAAACAGAAGATTCTTACAGCTTCTGAGAGTAACTCAGCCCCGAAAAAGCCACTGACGTCCCAAACGTCTAAAGCACTTCCAACACCATGTGGTGCGGTGGTTGATGATAAGTCCTTGTAACAAGAATCCAGTATTTCAGGGCCTGTAGCAACTCCTCTGGGGCTGCTGTTATGCTCCACTTTAAAGTGACCTGCTCTTTGCAAATATTTGCCACTTGGGCCACTCTGGGAGTTCTCCTTTAGTCTAAGCAAATTTTCTCCAGTTTCCCGCTTTCTCTTTTGTTCAATATATCTTTCAGCCTCAGCTGAAGTTCGGCAACCAGCAGCTCGGGCATCCTGGGTGCAGGGACTGAATATTTCAATATTTAACACTAACTTGAAAACTTAATAGACAAGACACAACATACAGTGTTTAAATTTGTCACATATGCCAGAAGTACGTGCTTGAGCCAACCTATGGGTCTTTAATTTTCACCAAATTTTATTTGCTTTAAGAACTTGAAATGCATACCATGCAACAACCACTACCTACAGCACCCAATGGTATGACCTAACTGTTACTTAAGCGGGATGAAAATCACAGGAGACCAGGGTCCAAACCTCAACAGACGCAAAATATGCTAGATTCTTTCTTGCCTAAATTTTGATGGACAAAGTGACCGAATAATTGTGCTGATGGGAGGAGTAGGCATCCTACGATAAGTTGAAGTGCGTTCAAGCTGGTCCGGACAACACCATTACAAGAACAAAAGAAAAGAGACCACTACCTATGGTTGAGGAAAATAGCTTGCTTGTAGACTTTATGCATGGTAGTAACAAAAATAGGAGAAAATAAGTTGTAACTTTTATAAAAAATGCTTACCGAGTATATCGTTAAATTATAAGATCAAGTGTTCAAAGTAATAAAACATTATTTTTTAAAATTCTGCATATTGAGTTTGTGTTTTTCACATTCCCAATATATTAGTACTGGAACATGACGTTTTAATGTGTAACAAAACATGATTACGAGTTATTAATGTTCCAATATGTGTATACGTATTATATTCATTCCGAAGAGATTCCAAAGAGCCCAGAAAAGAGGATCGTCATCCTGGAGGTATGCTATTAGCAAGACTTCTCATCTAACCTGAAGATCTTGTATTCGTTTTACCATCCGGTGCTCCTCAATGATGCTCCTCAGGAAATCCTCATGCTCCTCTTTTGAATTAAAACGCATGAACACCCTGTAGCAACGGCAGATGTCCTTCTCCTCCGGGGTGAGGTCTTTCTCGAAAGGGTCAGGCTGAAGTAGATTTCTTTCCAAAATAAAGTCCTTCCTACGTTTCCTCTCATCAAGCCTGCAGAATATTAACATATTGAAGAATTTCACAAACTAACACGAATTAAGGGTCTCATGAGCCATTAATTAGCACATCAGAGCAACTAGCATAGACAATTGTACTGTATAATTGCCTTCAATAGATACATTTTCTCATGAATACATAGTTCAAAAATCCATATCGACAACATGAAGCACCAGAAGAGCCTAACAGGGATTCGCTCCCAACCCCCCCCCCCCCAACCCCACCACAAAATCACAATCACGGGAAGATTATCAACCAGACCCAGCGAGATGTCAAGAGGGTATTGAACTACCTTCAATCTGAGGACAACTGAAAATGCATACAGGCAACAGAAACTTACATCGAATGGAATCTATTTTTCAGACAGAAGAGAAATGCATCACAGAAGGGGACAGTTAAAATTTTACAAAATTGCTATGTTGCTCAAGGCAAGTTGAAGTCCACTATTCATCCACAAGATTCCCGAGAAAACTAAAATATAGGTGGTTCTACCAGCAAGCATCAGTTGCTTCAGTTGAATGAAGCATTCAATAAAACCACCTTAAAGTCAAGAGGCCAATTGACATTTTCAGATGTGGCAAAAAGTTAATACTTTTAGAATCAGATAGCTCTCTTCTGCAATGATTCTCGCACTTGGAATGGTAGGTTGGGGGGGGAGGGGGGCGAGGGGGGGGGGGAGGAAAGGTAACTGATAGAGTTAGCATTTAACATTCAGTTTTTTGCATATGCTGGGGAAAAGGAGGAAAATAAGTACCAACATCACAGTTCTGTGAGGATTACTTACCTTTTATAGTATATATGCAATACCCGCAGTTTCAGTTCACGTTCAGCGTTGCTATCTGTCTCTTTAAATTCCATATCAGCCAGCATCTGCTCAGCATCATTATCGTATTCAATTTCAAACTCCCCTCTCTTGGAATTATAACCACTCAATTCTGTCATAGAAGGCCCCTCATCCATTGCAGGTCTAGGCTTTTTCTCTCCAACACTCCTGTCTGCAGGACAACCTAAAGTCGAACAACAAAAATCTCTTAGCATTTCTCTCAGATAAAAAAGTTACCATGTGTACTGTAAAGAAATTATCAAATCTAAGTACTACAGCAATGATATGGAATCTCCCATTCACAATCAAGTAGAAATTTGGACTAAGCATGTACTTGCATAACGTTCTTTGCCATATTTGGCTTTCAAAATATTTATGAACAGCATCACTCAACAAGAAGTAGTACTAAATAATCATACTTTATAAGACTAGTACATGGATATCCGAATCTTAAAGTGAACACCCTAATGCATGATAGAGCAATGGTGCACGAACAGTAAGCATCACTATTTTCTGTGCTCTAATGCTAGAGCAATTGATACCTTCCACTTTGATGCTATCATGATTCTCCTTACTATGGAGTACGCCAGATGTCCTCTTTCCAGCTCCTGTCAATGTACCAGAAGCAGAACCTCCAACTGAAACCAAATCCGCCATGATAGAGAAAGTAAGCGAACATATGCCAGCATAAACCGAAGGTATACTAATTTTCCCGCCATCTCTCTCTCTCTCCATACACACACACACACATTATAAATATATTACTGCCTCTGCAGGACATCAGGAGAAAATTTATTTTTACTTTATTCTTTTTTTAATGGGAGCTGAGTTGGGAATGATCATAAGGGTAGCAACTTGTGCCAGAAGCTAAACTACCTGAGGCAAGTCCAGCTGAATTTTCTTCCCGTTGATCTTCCATCCTGAAAATACGTGTCCAAATGTATGAGAACAGAGAAAACTATGAAACTTGCTTTTATTTGGAACAAACCCGACTATACTTGATTCTTGCAGAGAATGGAGACTCTTCTTTAACATTCACTTCCTGGGGAGCAGCATATCCTAACAAGAATAAACATTCAATTAGTAAGAGACAATGTGATTCTGAGAATGGTGGATATGCTTGTACTTCCTCCAAAGCAACATTACTCCATCATCAAGAAATGACAATATCTGCTGACTACAAATGGAGCATGAGCAGACAGGCCTATGAAAGAATGCAGAGACCAGACATTTCTGGCTATCCCTCTTTTTTGTTTTTTTTTCTGATGCCATGGGGGGGGGATACAAATGATCTTGGTCTGCTATATAATTTTTATTCATCAAATGAAAAGGAAAATTCAGGGTCCCAGAAAAACCTGAAAATTCTGTTTATAACCCAATACAGACACAATCTCTTGATGGCCGAACCAGCCAATTGAAGTAAACATCGGCCTGTCCGACATGAGGTAGGAGGAAAGCACAGCTTGATTGTGTTATGCAGTGAACACCAAACTGATGCACTGACAAGAAAGAGAAAGCGTACGAAGCAGATAACTAAGAGGCAAAACCATTATAGTGTCAGTGCCCCGTCTAGGGGTGTGCATGATTTAGCATATACCGAATTTCGGTATCCGGTATGGTATTTGGTTCAAGTGTTGAAAAAATTCGGTATTTGGTATGGTGTTCGGTATTTGGAAAAAAAAAATACCAAAATACTGATACCATACTGAAATACAAACTAACTTACACAATACACATATTTTAGATTATATATAAATATAAAAGCCCCTTCTTTATCCTTATAGGGTTTGTCTTTTTCGTTTTCTTGAGCCGAGGGTCAATCGGAAACAACCTCTCTACTCCATCTGGGTAGGGGTAAGGTCTGCGTACACTCTACCCTCCCCAGACCCCTTACTTGTGGGATTTTACTGGGTTGTTGTTGTTGTTGTTGTTATCCTTATAGGGTTTACTTTTTTACCTTTCCCCCTTTTTCCTTTTTTACCTACTTACATTTCCGCCTTTCCCACCTAGGCTTTAGAAATCAGAAATCGGCAATTTCAGTTTCCCGGCTATATTTATTTTACAACTGATGATAGTCCAGTTGAAAGTTCATATAAGATCACACATACCTTTCTTCTAACTCGCTCTCTCTAGAAATTGGAAGTTCTAGAAGACACTTTCTTTGATTTATTGTTTTATCCATGATTTTATTACCTCTAAAAGACAAAAAAACAGAGTTACAATCCTCTATCCAAGCTGAACAAACCGAAATTATCAAACTGAAACCAAAAGGAGAAAAGCCGAACCATACCGATTTTAATCGGGTATGGTATTGGTATAGCATTTTAAGAAACCGAATACCGAAAATATAGAACCAAAATGTCTAAAAACCAAGCTAAACCAAGAGACGAACACCGTTTTCTCCATTCTTTCAAGTTAGTCCCAATCTGACTTTAAGCTTAAGACCTTTTTTTAGTGATGGTGGGTCCGGCCAGCTTCTGCATACCTCGACTAAGAGATATAAAAAGCAAAATGAAAATACGAGAAAGAAAAGCTCTAGAGTTTATCCATCTCAAACAAAAAAAGCTCTTGAGTTTACCTTGCTCCTTGGCCATGGCGAGAAGTTCCTCTCTGCTCTTTCCCATAACGTGAGACATGTCCTAGAGAGATTGAACGTAGATTCAGCTTTTCATATTGAAGCCTTTGATGTAATGCTGCACTGTGTTACGAGGATCACTTACCGGAAGCGGAAAACAAGGAGAATTAATATATATGGTATTATAATGGTCAATACACTGCAATTTACTTTTTGTTCCAACATGTTCTGCAACTTCAGCCCAGTTTGCCAATCCGTACATTTCCATGCCCTACAAAAGAAAAGGAGGACAGGTGATAAACTAAAAGCAAGAGATCTGCAATCCTCCACAAATTATGTATAAGATCAAGATCATTAAGATACATTAAGAGAACTTGTAAACAAAATATAGAGTAGAGAAATAAATGATAATTGAAGTATTTAAACACAAGCAGAAAGATAGAAAACTACCTCTAGAAGTAACATTTCCTCATCTGCATTCCAGTCAGCACATATAAGAGGAAATGACAGGTTATCCTGTTGATAGAAGAAAGCCTTGAGTACATATCCGAGACATATATTTCAATAGAAAATAAGAGGTTATAAAAAGGGTGAGAATATAACTATGTAAAGTAGAAGCACAAAAGATCCGGACCTCCTCCCCACAAAGTAAATGTGTGAGAAAAATTGCTTTGGTTAAGATCATTGATCAGTTAAGACAGGAAGTTGATATCCACTGAACACACGCACCTACTAATCCCATTATTTGTAATTAAGCATGATTATAAGCTGGCATTTCACTCTTGAGCAACAGCTTCATAAGAACCTTGTTCCTATTTTGAGAGCACAATGGGCATATTAGCAAAACCCATGCTTTTAGGTTTGACAAGTTCAACAAAGTAACCATATCAATCTCTATTGCTTAGCATCCACATAAAACGTGTAAACTTCAATTCTACCTCTCTAAATATAGAATCAAAAGTCAGTATGAGCATCCAACTTACTTCCATCACATGAAAATCGTCTCCTGGACGTAAGCATCTCATTATTGCAGTTAGAACAACCTTTTCATGAGCATAATCATTTCTATCTATTATTTTCCATCTCATTATGAATCCAACTTAGCCCACTATCGGTAACTAGGTAAAGGATTATATCCAGAAGCTAGTAATGAAATCATGATAGTGTTTCAACAGACAGCAGCACGCTTTGACGAACAGGATTAGATCAAAAGCCATCTTGCTAGCAGATGACCATGGAGATAATTAACTATTGATTGTAGACACAGTTCTTACGACTATGACTGACCATCAAGCAGCTAGGAAGACTGCACAACCCTTTCATATTAGCTGAGTGGTCAACTTTCCGATATAAACCAGGTATAGAGTTCACCTTGCACAATCTTTTTAAAAAGGTCTTTAAGAAGTTCTCCAGAGCTTTGTCTAAAGCAATTAGGATATACACAAAATGATGATATCTGCTTCAGCAATGTGAGATCAATGAGGAGCATGAGCTTTGAACAAAATATACTCCGAATTAGGGCTGCAAATTAAGACTGCTTCAAGCATTTTCCCGACTTAAATTATTTCTGTCAGTTGATAGATACGAATAACACAATAAGAGAAGTACTTCACTGAAGTAGTCCACCATTTTGATGAGAAATTCAATTAGATGAAGTCACTAACCATAACCCTATACAGATGATTGCTTTTGTGAGGTTGCACTTCTGCTCCAACAGAAAAGCATTCCACACAAAGATCAAAGTCAGAGCACACAGCACATTTAATTCGAATCCTTCCAGAGATGTCTTTATTGCAATAATTGCAATGGTACAAAGCTTTTTTGCCGTCGCTCAATACTTGGCCTTCATATATAGAGACAAGACAAATTATAAGGTTCAACTTAAAACGGGAATTAATTCGTGATTAGCATCTGAGTAGAACACCAGGCATAACAAACAAGGTTCCAGAAATTGTAGTTACAATGCATGTCTATGTCGTGGGAGAACACTTACAGTGAAGACTCATAAATTGTTCTTTTTTTTTTCAAGTAAGAAAAAGAAATAGAACAATTTATGATACGGTCTGACGGTCTGTTCCGCCATGAACAAGATTAAAAAATATGAAACACGAAATAGAAGGTAAAAATAAAATTTTGTTCCACAAACATGGTCACAAACTGTGATGAATAAAGAATTATGTACTTTCTCTCCATGTGAATCTGACTTGGCACTTTAGTATGAGAAGAATTAAATTTATAGTCTTAATTATTTATTTATGATAAACAGTTAAAATTTAAACAATTTAGTGTTCGTTGCAGAAACATGTTTGGTCTTATGTTGAATCTAGTGCTTCTTTGAGAGAAAAATAAAGCAAAAGGTTTTACTGAAAAGAGAAAACGAGAATTCCCCATGAATTAAAATTTGTGACACACAAATGTTGCAAGACTTTCCTCGGGAAGAGAAAAGGGGGTTCTATGAAAGTTTTTTGCTTCATACAAAATGTCGCAACACTTTCCTCTTCAAAGTAAGACTTTCTTTTTGAGATAGACGGAGTAAATAGTTCAAATGTGTCCAGTTTACAAGTCAAATGCATGTTTGTTTAAACTGAGGGGAGATCCTGCTTTTGTAAATTTTTCATTCCCCAGGATGCTAATTACCAATGTATAATCTCAAAGACCATACCAGCAGCTGCAGTATCAAAATTCTCCACATTTGGTACTGTCCTTTTTCTCTTTGACCTACCAAAGAGTTAAAGGGGGCAAGGGAAAGTAAGTTATGATATCAGGCCAATAAACCATAGAATCAAATTAAATACAGCTCTGTATGAAGCAATGATAAGTACGGAACTACGTTTACATAGACACATATCCGTACATGATATGTAATGCAAGAAAATTTAAACTGTCTATGCACTTGCGAAAAGCAATGTTCTAGACCAGAAGGTAAGGATCTATATCCGAGCAAAAAGTTAAGTAAGCCATTTGGCAACGGAGCCCAAGCATCAGCTATCACTACTGCTGCTCTGTAATACTCCCTCCATTTCAGTTTATGTGAACCTATTACGATCCGGGGAGTCAAACAAGATTTTCTTTGATCTTGATTTTTGTAAATACTTTTTAAATATTTTGAACTGTTAACTATTGTGACTTATAGTATTTTTTATGTAGTTTCTTAAGTATGTAAATTTTAATACAAAAAGATTGAAAATTCTATGTTCGAATTCAAACAAAAAATTAGTCAGTTTGACCCAATGAGAAGAAAAGGAAAACAAAAGAAAAAGTAATGCACTTAATAGCTTGGTTAACTTTTTAAAGTTTAACTCTGAGATGTTAAGAAACAAAACACTAATGCAAGTGAGACTGACACGTCTAAAAGGGCAGCCCGGTGCACTAAGCTCCCGCTATGCGCGGGGTTCGGGGAAGGGATTGTATCTCATTAAAAACGATTTCCTTTTTTCAAACAATTAGGATCACTTTGGCAAGGTCAAAGTAGCAAGCATTGAGGCTAAAATGAGATAAGGTCGCTTGAAATGGTCTGGCCATGTTCTGGGTCGACCTCTAGATGCATTGGTATTTAGGTATGAAATCATGGTAGGTGAAGGTGCTAAAATGGGACGAGGTAGACCTAAAATCATTTGGAAGAAAGTTATTTCGAAAAACTTACAATTTCTTGGAAACCAAGTATAAGTAATAGCAACTAGTAGGAAAATGTATTAGTCATGTTAGTACATTATTTAGGTCTGATGCTTTTCTAGAGGCATCTTTATCATAGGTTTATATGCCAATAAAAATATAGAAACTTCTAATATTATTTTTTACTATTATTTATATATATTTAACTTATTTTTTTACTTTTACTTTTGTGAATGAGTATGGCATGAGATGAGTTTAAATGGAAAAACATGGTTAGTCAGGATTCAGATAGCCGATCCCTACTTGTTTGGGACTAAGACATAGTTGTTGTTTAGGAAATGCATTGGCAAACAAATCATTGGACTAGCCTCTCAAGAAAACGTAATTCGAATAGCAGCTAATACACGCTTTTATATCAAAAGTAACAAAAATGTAAGGAAAAGGAAAACCTCAAATAGATATTAAATTATCAATCAAGGAGCTTTTTATTCGGTTCTACTAGAGCTAAAGAAATTTAAACTTGATTCTTCTACTGAGTTAGAACATGCCACTACATCCTATGCAATTTGAGTAAGCTCCAACTCATATTAACAGAGATTGAGAAACAAGACGCTCGTATTCCACATCAAAGACCTGCAACTCAACCTCTCTTTTCTCCTCATAAAATCAGTATCTAATATTATAATTCAACAATGCTATATCATCATTGATTAATCGAGCCAATTCAAAGTTCAAACTAAGACTTCCAGTCTATCTCTCATTTTCCTTTGTATCTCCAACTCTTCTCTTGTTATATAACCTAACAACGATAACTTTCTTCTTTGCTTTTTCACTTAGTCAGTATCCTATACTTTGGTTGCTCAATATACTAACATAAATAATGGAGTTGTAGCTTAACCATGTTCAAGTATCATGCACAAAACACCAGAACTATTTGGAAATACCTAAATATTGTGCAAATACTATAAAAGCAGACTAAAATTCGAAAAAGAATCGTTAATCAAATTGAATAAGCAAATTATAATTTAACTGACCTCTGACTTGGATCATCATCGGCGGATTGATGTACGGCCCGAGAACGACCCATATTTTCTTAATTGGAGCTCCGAAATTGAAAAATAGAGCTTCAATTGACTTGCTTGTAGAACTAAGAGGTGGAGATCTCTGATGTCACTGCACTCTAGCGTCTCACAACTCCGGCTATGGGAAAGATAAGTGCGATAGATTATTGGCAAAATTCCCAGATTTGGGGAATAAAGTATGTCGATGTATACTAAAAGTTTAAAATTAAATTCTAACTGTTTAAACTAAAAGTATTGGAGTAACACTTATTTAATGTTTATATAGTTGGTTGCGAGCGTAATGTTAAAGTTGATCATGTGTGTGACCTATAGGTTTCGTGTTGGAACTGAAAACTGTTGATATTTACATTAGGGTGGGTAGGCTAACTGCATAATATCCGTATGGGGCTGGACTTTTGCATGAATGCGAGATGATTTGTGCCCTTTATAGTTGGTTGTGAGAGACACTTTTAAAGAAAAGATTAAGCAATGTTTAAAAAACTAATAATTATAATAAAATAATAAAAGAAGAAGAATAGTATTGTAGAGAAAAGTAGAGAGAGAATTCTTATTGATTTGGGATGAATTACAATGGAATAGTACCTCTCTATTTATAGGGAAAGAGTGACTTAGTCACCAAGTAAAATCCTAAGATCTTTCTAAAATATAGACATTCACCTTAAATAAAATTCTATTTATAACACTCCCCCTTGGATATCTATTCAACAGATAATGTGCCTCGTTAAAACCTTAACTATATTAAACTAGTGGGAAAAAAATTCTAGAGAAGGAAAAAGAGTACACATGTTTAGAAATACGCATTTTGGTTGCCTCGTTAAAAACCTTGCAAGGAAAAAAGATGTGACGACCCGGCCCGTCGTCACGTGAGTTACCGCCCCGTTTCCCCCATTTTCTGCTTCCTTATGTTTTATTATAAGAGTCTTGAGTGAATGAGTCGATTTGAATTGGTTTCGGATGGAAATGAGACATATATTATCTTTAAGGAAGGTTTGTATTGAAAAAGTCAACCGGATGTTGACTTGTGAGTTAGAGGGCTCGGATGTGATTTTCGGTGATTTGGTTAGCTTCGGGGGATGATTTGTGACTTAGGAGTGAGATCGAAATTGATTTTGGAGGTCCGGTGTAGAACTAGGCTTGAATTGGCGAAGTTAGTATTTTGGCGAATTCCAGTTGGTAGGTGAGATTTCGATCCGAGGGTCGGAATGGAATTTCGAGAGTTGTTGTAGCTTCGTTAGGTGATTTTGGATGTGTGTGCAAAATTTCAGATCATTCGGAGGTGTTTTGGTCGGGTTTTTGATCAAATGCGTAATTCGGAAGTTTAGAAGAACTTAGGCTTAAATCCGATGTAATTTCATAGCTTTGGTGTTAATTGTGGTGTTTTGATGATTGGAATAGGTTTGAATGATGTTTTAGGATGGGTTGGCACTTTTGGTGATTTCGGATGGCCATCGGGTTGATTTTAGACTTGGTGATTGCTGAAGTTTAGCTGATATCTGGTATTTCCGCATCTGCGGAAATGGGGCCGCAGATGCGGTCCGCGGATGCGAAGTCGTGAGGCACAGGTGCGAGCGTGGGTCGTTTGGAGAATTTTCGCAGAAGCGAGGGGGTTTCCGCAGGTGCGGTACCCGCAGATGCGGTTATTGACCGCAGAAGCGGTCCGCGTTTATGAGGGGTATTCCGCAGAAGCGGAAAGTGGTGCGCAGGTGCGGAGACCGCAGGAGCGGGATGGTTACCGCAAAAGCGGTCCTTGGCCTATTGAAGATCCGCAGAAGCGGAGGTGCAACCGCAGAAGCAAAAGTCGCATGTGCGGTAAAGTAACCGCAGATGCGGAAACGACTGTTCAGAGAAAGGGTTTTAAAGCTCATTTTGTTCCGCGAGCTTGAGTTCATTTCCACCATTTTTGATCGACCTTGAGAGCTTTTGGGCAGAATTTGAAGGGGATTTCGATTAGGTGTGATTGGAGGCGAGTTCCTTGACCTTAATACATGATTTAATGGTAGAATTAACGTGGAAATTTGTGGAAATTCATCAAAAGAGGGTAAAGCTAGGGCTTGGGAATTTGGTATTTCAAAGTGGAATTTGAGGGGTCAAATGGACTCCGATTTTGGTAATTTTGATTTGTATAGACTCGTGGCGAGATAAGGAATCAGATGATGTTAATTTTCTGATTTTTCGAGAAGTGGGCCCGGGGCTCGGGTTTTGCCAATTTCGTAAATTTCGATATTTTTCGAGTCTTCTCGATTGGGTTATGTTCCCTTAGCCTATTGTAACGTATTCGTTGTGGTTTTAACCAGATTCGACGCACGAGGAGGTCGATTTGCGAGGCAAGGGCATAGCGAGCTAGGATTTTGGCCGGCTTGAGGTGAGTAATGATAGTAAATGATATCCTGAGGGTTTGAAACCCCAGATTTGCACAACGTAGTGCCATATTGAGGTGAAACACGCGCTTAATGGCGGGCGCGGGGTTGTTTACTACTAGGGATTGTGACTTTTTCCGTCCCGTTTGATATTTCACTGCGTATTTGATTAAGCTGATTTGTTTATCATCATGATTTTGGCTAGTTGCCATGTTTGGGGCCTCGTGCCGACTTGTAGAACCCTTAGGGGTATTATGACTGATTTTCCTCACTTTACTTAGTACAAATCACACCCTCAGTCATGTTTCTAATTGATTAAACAATGTGAACCGTTTTTATAAGTGTTAATCCTAAATGAGGGAAGATATGTGGGCTGAGATCCCTGCCCTATACTATTGTGTCCTAAAATGACTGAGAGGGGTTGAGAACCCAACAGTGAGGATATTATATATATTATGGATCGGGCTGCACGCCGCAGCAAATACTCATATGGATCGGGCTGCACGCCGCAGCAAATATTTATGTGGATCGGGCTGTGCGCCGCAACAATATTGCGCTTGGGAAGTAGGAGCCCCTCCGGAGTCTGCACCCCTATAGTGAGCGCGGGTACCCATATGGATCGGGCTGCACGCCGCAGCGATGGATCGGGCTGCACGCCGCAGTGATGGATCGGGTTGCACGCCGCATCGATGGATCAGGCTGCACGCCGCAGCGAGATATGGATCGGACTGCACGCCGCAGTGGTAATTATATGATACTATTCTGAGAGTAATCTGAGTTACTGTACTGAGCGGTTGATACTGGGCCCGGGGGCAGTTTTACTCTATTCCATTTATTAGTTGTTTTACCTGATTTACTTGCCTTTAAAACGGAGATTTCACATGATTTCACGGATTTTACTGCTTTAAGTGATTTACTGCCTAATATAGAACTGCCTTGTGTTGTTATGTGTTTTCTTATCTTCAACTATTATTTATTATTATTACTCACTGGGTCGGAGTACTCACATTACTCCCTGCACTATGTGTGCAGATTCAGGCATAGCAGAGTCCGTTCCTGAGCACTGATATCCTTGTCCAGATCAGGCAGCGAGTTCGGAGTTTCAAGGTAGCTGTTGGCGTCCGTAGCCCCCTTGACTCCCCTATTTCATGTTATTTCAGTTATTCCAGACTTCTGTATCAGATATTCTGTTTGTAGACTTATAGAAATTCTGTAGTAGCTCATGACTTGTGACACCCCGATTTGGGCTGTGTTGGGATGGTTTCTACTGTTATATTCCATATTCCCACGAATTATTGTTATCAAATCATGCCTTAGAATTGCTTAATGGTAATTAACTGCTTAAAAGAGGTGTTGGCATTGTTCTGGCTGGCCTTGTCTTCACGAGAGGCGCCATCACGGCTGGGTTTGGGATTTGGGCCGTGACAAGTTGGTATCAGAGTCTAGGTTACTAGGTCTCACAAGTCATGAGCTGATTTAGTAGAGTCTCGCGGATCGGTACGGAGACGTCTGTACTTATCCTCGAGAGGCTGCAGAACCTTTTAGGAAACTTCACATTCTTGGAATTCTTGTCGTGCGAACTTGTTGATCCGAGTACTAAACCTCTCTTTATTCTATTCTCTCACAGATGGTGAGGACACGAGCTACCGGACGTGGCGGACGACCCCCAGTACCACCCACTGAGACCACCAGAGGCCGTGAACGCGGTCGTGGCAGAGGCAGAGCAGTAGGGGCAGCACCTGTTGATCCACCAGTTGCCCGAGCTCAGGATCAGGCTCCAGCAGCACTAGTTCAGGCACCAACTGTGCCCATCGTGATTCCTGGCCTTCAGGAGACATTAGCTCAGATCTTGACAGTGTGCACGGGCCTGGCTCAGGTGGTTTCAGCCACTACAGCAGCAGCAGCTACTTCGCAGGCTGGGGGAGGAAATCAGACCCCCGCTGCTCGCACACCTGAGCAGGTAGTGCAGGGATTACAGACTCCAGAGGCACCTCCAGCTCAGCCAGCTGTGCCAGTACAGGAGTTCAGGGTTCCAGTTATGCCCGAGGACGAGCAGCGTCGCCTCGAGAGGTTTGGTAGGCTCCAGCCTCCGACATTTAGTGGAGCTGAGGGCGAGGATGCCCAGGGTTTTCTCGATAGATGTCAGCGGATGCTCCGTACAGCGGGGATTCTTGAGTCCAGTGGTGTGGCTTTTACTACTTTTCAGTTTACTGGAGCTGCCTTCACTTGGTGGGAGGCGTATGAGCGGCATAGACCGGCTGGTGCAGCACCTTTGACTTGGCAGGAGTTCTCGACTCTCTTCTTGGAGAAGTATGTACCGCAGTCCCGCAGAGAGGAGCTGCGCAGACAGTTTGAGTGGCTACGGCAGGGAGATATGACAGTGTCCCAGTATGAGATGAGATTTTCAGAGTTGGCTCGGCATGCAGTTTGGCTGGTTCCGACAGATCGTGAGCGTATCCGGAGGTTTGTTGACGGTCTCAGCTACCCTCTTCGAGTTCTTATGACTAGGGAGCGAGTGCTGGGTGCCACATTCTCGGAGGTGGTTGATATAGCCCGAGAGATTGAGGCGGTTCGCCGTCAGGATCGAGATGAGAGGGAGGCCAAGAGGCCTCGAGGTTCTGGTAGTTACAGTGGCGCTCCTTCGAGGGGCCAGTTCCAGCAGGGTCGGGGTCGTTCTTTCAGGCCCGCTCAGTCAGCTCGACCCGAGTACCGAGGAGGATCTTCAGGTCGTGGTTATCAAGGTTCTCAGCAGAGTCAGCCATCTCTCAGCGCTCTTCCATCACAGAGTTCATCTCGTGCTCCATCTGCTCAGGGTTCTTCCAGGCCGAGTGCATCAGCTAGTCACTCCGGCGCGAGGGGTTCCCTTCAGTCCCAGTCCC